CGGAATTGCTGGGTTTCCACCTTAGGGCTGTGGATTAGGAAACTCCACGATCAGAAGCGTAGGAGCAGCAGTGGAGGATTTACTCCTCAGCGGCTTGTCCTGAGGCAGGCCCTGAAATACCTCTGGTGTCTGTGCTGAGGAACTGACGTCCTGTGCTGAAGTCATGGGCTTGGCCTCTCAGTTCGCCTCCGCAGAACAGAGGCGGGCTGGTGGATGGGCGCAGACTGGTCTCCAGCCCCTCGTGCACTGGGGAGGAGGTGTTTGTGCTCTGGGAACTGCACCTGTTCTGGTCCAGCTCCGGAGCATTCCTCCAGTCAGTGTGTCACCTCACTGAAAAACGTGACTCCTCTCAGATCTGGTGTGAGTGTCCCACTGTGCCATCAAATCCGAGAAACGATGGTTGGAAGAGACTCCTGGAGGCCTCTAGTCCAACCTCGTGCTTGAGCCAAGACTATTGCCAACAGCAGATCAGGTCAGCTGGGCTTTGGTCCAGATAAATCTTGAAAAAAAACCTTAAAGAAGAGAGATTCTGCACACCTTGGCCCCAGGTAAGCTGTTCCATGGCTGCATTATGTTCCTAGCGGAAAAGTTTTCCTCTCTTGGTCTCCCAGGCTGTGTTTGTGGCTGTTGCCCCTTGTTATTGTTTCTCGAGCCTGTGGTCTCTTTGCAGTGCTGACACCGCTCCTCCTGCCGCGCAGGGAGGCAATCGCTGTCAGAAATTAAACACCGGTTGCCCTGGATGTGTCCCTGCTGCTCTCGTCCTTACAGGGACCATGCCCAGAGGTGACTCTGGGCCATGAAATGTCCAGCAAAGCGGCTGTTTCAGTAGAAGGCAGGTAGTTGGGTCACGTGTGGTGCTGGGGGAAGAAAATCCATCGATGCCGACACTGAGCTGGCCTCAGAGAGGGCATTCTCCCAGCAGCATTCCTAACGAGCCAAGGCACACGATGATCTAATTCTGTGAACTCCTAATGTGCCTCCGAGGGTTTCACTGAAATTCAGATTTTTGGGTTTTTTTTTTGTTTGTTTGTTTTTCCTGGCAGAGGATTTACGAGAATACTTTTTCCACTCGGTTTTCCAACAATGTGGTAATAAAAGGGTCTCATCCAGGTTTTGTACTGGGGTTGCCAAATCTCAAGTGTGATGTAAATCCACTCGGAGCTGCGAGTTCTGCTGGTTGTCACCTGAATATATCCTGGATTTCAGTATCGCAGTCCGACACCACAGCACCCCCCTTACAGAGGATATAAACTTGTGGTTTGGTTTGGTTTTGGTTTGCTTTCATCTACTCATTGTGGGTGTTTAGGACAAAGTTCCCACAAGTCCAAAACCCTGTCAGAGTAACCTGTTTTTGTCTGAGATGCACGTTATTCTATGCAAGTAGCGTTTTCTACTTTTAATAATTAATGGAGCGCAACATTTCTGCAGCCTTTAGTCAGAGTTGGAAGTTCACTAGCAAACAGTAGCACATTTGGAGTCTGTCAGTTTATTTATATATTTATAATGACCTGGCAGTTCAATCACAAAAAGAAATGCAAACTGACCTGGCTACAGAGAAGAGAAGCAGTATAGTGATGAAAAACCTTCTAAGCCCAGGAAAACTCCAGCATATTTTGGCTGCGGTTAAGGATGGATTAATGAAACTACCCGACCTGAATGCAAAAGCCAACTGAGCTGTTTGTACTGGATACAGAACTGTAGCTGACTACGGAATGTGTCTCTCTAAGGCCCCCAAACTCTTAACTCACGTCTGCAAATGCTTCTTTGGAGTAGCAAGTGACACTGTCCAAGTGAATGCTGGTGGAGAGAGAGAGGAGTCAGAGGATTCATGTTCTCCTCTGTGCAGGCGGAGAAGAGGCTTCCCAACAGAGCAGCTCCTCTGCTGGTGTTGGAGGAGGGAGGTGACTTTCAGAGCACAGAGAGACAATGTGAGAGGCACTAAAGCAGCTCTGAGGGCGCTGGGTTAAACCAGCAGCAGAGGGCTGCAAATGCCAGCGCGGGGAGATGCAGGTGATCTGTGACCCTTCCCCGAAGCACAGCCTGAGCTGCCACGAGTGCGGTCACCACGTCGCTCCTCCGAGGGTCTTGTGTGTAAGGTCAACAGCTGCCTCCAGCGTGGAGCGATGGGAGGACAGCGTTTCAGTACCCTTTGATTTCTCCACTGCCTTTCACACGCTCCGTTTCTGTTCTTCATTAGATCCCTGCTCGGTTACTCTCTTGCCCCCAGGGAAAACCAGCCACCGCAGTGACACAGGAAGCGTGTGGCCTGACCGAGCTTTTGAAGTTTCACTTGCTCCAGCGTGTTCTCAGGAGATTCAGTGGCAGTTGTGCCACAGCTAGCAGTGGAAGGGCAATCCCTTCAGTTGTGTTTCGTTTGAAAGTTTTCTGCAGCCTGTGGAGTGTTTGCTGGAACCCCTTTCAGACGCTCTTTGCTAACACAAATGCAATCACTTTCCTTTCGGCTTCCTTGCAAAGACCGCAGACAGAAACTGCTGCTTCCCGGTTTCACTGCAGCATCGTCGTTTTCCTTCAGAACCAAGTCTTAACATTCATTTACAGTCTATCTAGGTGCTCTTGTGACCAGCTCAACCTAGGAAAAGCCGCTCCATCCAGCCCCAGCGCGTTAACTGTTCCAGAGCAGTTCCAGTTCAGCACTGGAGTACCAGTGCCAGGGAAGGCTAACAACCTCAGAACTGTCCCAAGGATGTAAAACCGAGGTGGGAATTCTTTCGTTGTTGTTAAACAATGCTGCAGTACACAGAAACTAAGTAAAAGACAACAGGTTTCAGGTCTGCTTTTCCATAATGCCCCTTTTATTCATTTATGTAACAGCTGTTTGGTAAAGAAATTCTGTAGCCAAAACCAAAGCCTCTCTTCAGAAAAAAAAAAAAAAAAGACCCACAAAACCCACAAAGCCAAAACCAAGCTGCCAGCAAAACTCTGATTTAAAAATACAATACGATACTCTTTAAGGATCATTAAAACCATTTCCTAGTATCTCCTCGCCACACCTCCTACCTTGATGAATTGTGCTTTTTCAAAACACAGGCTGCATCTACGAACAAGACTCACAACAAAAACGTCTGAAGAGTTTCTTACTAGATTAGTAAGATTTGCACCAAAATGTTATGTTGCCAATTGTGGCAGAGCACTATGGAGGCCCTCCCTGCGGGGCGGTGCCATCAGCCCTGCCTCCCCCTGGGCCAGGCTCCTTCTCCTCCTCCTCCCATCACGCTCTCTTGTCCTGTCAGTCCTTGCTCTGTGCTTTCAGAGACTTGTTCTCGTCACTGGCTACACCAAGAGATCTGACTCTTTCCCAGATATATTTCCCATAATACAAATTTCCTCCTTGTAGCAGCAGGCAGGAGAAGTGTGTTCCCCACCTGGTAATTCTGATTCCTGGGGTAAGGCATCATTTATGGGAACTGAGCTGCTGCTGCCTTGTAAAAAGGCACAAAAGAACCTGATGTTAATTTGTATAATTTTATTAACTAAACCGGCACACGTATATCACCCGTATAAAGGCATCACATGTATAAAGAACTGGTTTTCGAAAGTATTCAAGTGCATTTTCTTCACTGCGTTCAATAAATTTCCTCTGCACTTTTGCCATTCATCGCTATTGCACAACAAATATTTAGAAAAGAAAAAAAAAACAACCAGTCTTCAGCTACCAGGAAGCAAACATGGAAAACTGTTCCCTACTTGGAAGGAGCCACCTTCAGTGCTTTATTACAGCGCTCTGCACGGGGGAAAAAGGAGAGACTGTGAGGAGATGGCGAAGTCATGGCACGGCCCGGGAGCTGTTTGTACCATTCCGTTTGGAAGCGGCGGCCCTGGCAGGTGTGATGCCTTGAATGTCTGTACGTATAACCCTGGAAAAGGAACGGTTCTTAAAAATGGGTATTTTACTGTGGGGAGCCACTGCTCAGCCTTTGCATGAGAAACGCTTTTCAAAGTACTACCAAGGCTTCAGTTCGGTTCCTTAGGAGCTGGAAATGCTGCAGTTTTAACCCGGGCAGTGATTTACAGCATTCCAAGAAGCCTGTTATTCTAGCTTTGCTTAATCTTAAAAGCAGAGGTAAGGAATGTCAAGAACCACGGTGAAAGTGCTTTCAGAATTAACGGCTGTCAAATAATTTATGGAAAGCCACTGTCTCAAAACTCACAAAATGTATTGACATGAAAAACAGCTATTGGAAAAAAGTTCATTTCAAAATTTCTAAATAAGATTGCTTAACAGGGCATATTTCCAGATTGATAAGGAAATGCTCCTGGGAAAAACCTCCTGTTTCCCAGGGTACATCAGCCGAGCACTGGATGAGGCCTGGTTCTTCAGCAGGGCATCTGCTGGCCACCTCTCTCCACTGAGCTGCTGACTTGAGTAGAAAAGGAGACAGGACGGCATTTACCTCTCCTCCACTCTATCCCTCCCCAGCCTTTGCCTTCCCTCGTTTTCCTGGTGCCTCTCCAGTGAGTCAACACCAGCGTGACTGTGGAGAGGATGCCGATATCCTAAATCTGAGGCCAAAGGGATTGTTTCTGACCCTTGGTACCAAGGAGCAGCAATTTCAGACGTATACTCCAGTGCCTTCTGATGAACACGCAGGAGCAGAAGTCTGTAACAAATGCACCAGGCGGCAATGTCGGGTTTTGAAATCCCAGCTTTTCTCTGTAGGCATTCAGGACAGAATTCACCAGCAGAAGGTCCGTGCATTCTGCTGGGCCTTGGAGGCCAAGCACTGCAGAAGGTTTGGGCAGGGAACTTCACCCCTGGAACAGCAGCAAAAATCTGTCTCACATTTAATCCCAAATTTAGTCTCTAATGGAAACCCAGGGAGTGTGGCACAACACCTGACTTTCCAGGGAAGGACCACATGCTTGTAGACACAAACAGAATTCCAAGCCTGTGGGCCGTTTTTAATAGCTTTGGCACTCGGCAGGATTAACCTCGCAGCCTTGGCATAGCATCCCCCAGTAGGGTGCAATTCAGCAACTTTCTCTTCATGGCTCATATAAATCTGGTTTGTTTTAACTGGTAAGTCGGCTATAAAGCTACATAAAACCATCAAACAGGCCCACATCTAAAATGTTGAGTCTGGAATTAAATAGTCACTTAACAACCACCAGCCATATGTAGAAAGATAACTGGTAGTAAATTTGTTTATTTAAACTCAAAAGAGGAAAGAATAAAAATGTTAATTTGGAAAAAGTAAACTAATTATTATTTCCTCTAACTGCATGCGTCACCTTCCAAGATTCTCGGAGAGAGAATCAGCGAACAGTCAGACAAAACCGCTCGAGCCATCAGGTGTTGTGGAATGTGTTACTCACGACAATGATGCAGGGAGTCCTTCAACCAAAGAAAGCAACTAAAGCTAAATGGGGCTTTTCGCCATAAACACTCATCGCAGGAAAAGATCACGCTTTCACGATTGCTCTGGTGCTTACAGCCACAGGAGAACTTAGTTCTCTTCATCCGAGGAGAGACCTTCGATTTCATCTCTGTCTCCGCCAATTGCCATCCAGAACGCTTTGGCTACCTAACAGTGGGAAAAAAGATGGGAAAGGGAGAAAAGTTCCCCTTAAATGACTGAAGATTCTGCATTTACCATCAAAAACCAGAAACTGAGCAGCAGCTAAATCTAGCAACCGTGTTTTTAAGTACAATGCTAATTTTCTGCGACATTAAGAAATTTCACCAACAATAATTTAGAATTTGTGGGAGGCACATGTGATACAAAACTTGTGCTAATTAAGACATGATTAAATTTTCCTTGAGATCAAGGCTTTTCCATTGACTTAAGCGGAAGCTGGCGTAAACCCTCAGCACCTCCAGGGCCTTCATTTTGGAAATTCTGAAAGGAGAATGCCTTTTCTGGTGTTTCAAAATTCCACATTTGTTATTCAGTTCTGGGGAGACACCAGTCAGCCTTCCCAGGACTGTGCGGTTTGTTCTTACGGCTCTTAATATAGGAACGCTACAAGAGAAATAATGGTGGCTTAGAAAGGAAAACCCTGTTTTTAATAATTTCAATGCCAATTTCAAAACCTCACCTTTTCCGCATGTAGTTTTCTTTGTTCGTGAGGCAGTGTTGCAGCTTTATCTGCGGAAAAGAACACGACTTAGGTTGGCAACCTGATGCTGCTGAGCACACTGGGTTTAATCTCAAACTGTTGTAGCTTGAAACTGCAAGACTGGCATGCAGTTGTAGAGCTCAAAAAAAAGTTTGTTTATAGAAAACTGCATAGGATTAGTTCATGGTGGACACAATCAGCGTGACAGCAGTCAGCTGAGCAATATCTATTTCAAGAGCACCAGCAAGATGAAGGGAAAATTAATTTAAGATAAACTGCTTGTAAAAAACCTCAGACAGGAGAACAGGAATTTGTACAATCTTCCCAGCTCCCAGACTGGCTTTTGGGCCTTTGAGGGACTGGAATAGGTGACACAGCTCCGCACCCACCAGTACGTTACCTTTCATTTCCTTCAGCTTTGTAAACAACCTTTCAAAGTTCTCCAGGTCCCCGTCTCTTGTGGTCAGGCTGGCTAACTCCTGAACGTCCGTATCTAACGTGGGATCTGAAATACATGCAGATAGGTTGCTTTAGGGTAAATTATTCTGTTTTGTCAGCAGGTACGAAAGTCTTTCTGATAAAAAACAGTATTTTAATGTCTGCAAATCCTGTCTGCAAATTCCAGCCCCATGGGAGGGACAGAACCATTTACTGATTGTTCGCACAGGCAGCTCATGGCATCGTTACAGTGGTAATTAATTTTGATACATCACATTGCAATAATGTTTTTGAGTTCATCTAATATTTAAGGTTTCTTGCCTGGGAACAGCCACGGAGTAAATTAAAGCGTAATGAGACTGTGCTTAGATCACAACTAACAACACTCAACCTTTATAAGATCTCCGCGTACAACTGGTAAGAAAGTTCCATTTCCTGGAACGGTGCAATTATTCAAGGACCTGGAGCTTAAAACACCTGAACCTCTTAGGACGGACCCAAGCAGAGTGTGGGTCGTTCATCTCCTGCTGGGTCATGCTGGTTCTCTGCAACCATAAAGCTTGAAGCTTCACTCTTACAAAGATGTTTCTACATATACACAGCGTACACAATATGCACACCAGGAAATTTCACAAAATCAGATCTGAACGTCCCCAATTGGCAGTGCTGCAGGGGCTCTGTCCTATCCAAACCTGGGCCCATTTTTTCCAGAAGGAGAACACCTAAACTCTAAACAATTATCCGCCAAGCAGAGAAAGAGCTTACCTACAGCGCTGTCAGTCTGGAGGTTGTCTGTGCTAGCTCGATCCTCTCTGTTGTCTAAGTGCGATTCTTCTCTGTCTGCTGGTGATGGGTTGGACTGTCAGGAAACACAAAGGTATTAGAGTGTTCAATAATGCACCTAAAAAGCATCATCAGCCGTAAATCAGGTGCTTCCTGTTTTGACTTCAAACACTTACTCTTTATCTGAAGCTGTTTATTACTGCAAAGCCTGTACCACCTGTTTTATGAAAAGCCACTTGTACAACACTCTACGCAGGTACTACACAAAGGTTTTCTATGGTAGGTTTGTTGTTACTTTTTAAATAACACTATCAAGTGATAGTTTTTGTTTTACACAAAATACTGGTCTTGGATATTAATGAAAACAACATCTTGAATGGAGCTTTATGCAATCATTCCTTGGCTCCAGCGCTCTGTATGGGGTAAAGCACTGACACAGTGCTGCAGTCACTGTGATCAACACCCAACACAATCAGGTATCTCTGGGTAAAATTATGAGTTCCGAGGCAATGTCCTGAAAACCAGCAAGCTCACAGCCATGAGGTGACAGCTGCTAGCAACAACTGCCTCATGAGGACTTGTAAGAAAAATGCAGATAGTTTTTCAGATGTAGAAATGATTCTTTTAAAATACATTCCAACAGGCTGTGAAGAATCCCTTGAGGAGGGGTAAAAAAACAAAGCAAGCCACCACCACACCAAGTGTGACAATAAGAGCAACATAAGAACAGCATGAGCAAAGAACAAGAAATAGGAATTACTGTTTACTTCTGTCTCTTGGTTCTCTTCTGACCCAATGCTACAGTTTGCACCTGCTAATGTACTGAGAAGCCCGAAGCCCTGGGTCCTGTCTGGAAACAAAACAGCCGTTAGTTTGACAGAAGATGCAATATTATTACAAATAGTTGTAACTGAACAGATGGGATAGAGGATATTTCAGGGAAGACAAACACACAGAGCAACCTGTAAAACTGTCAGTGCACCTGAAAATTTATTTTAAGCAGAAATTTTTTATATTCTTTAAGCTTTTTTAAAACTATATTAACAATACATACTGATAAATATTACAAACAGGGAATAGCTCTGTAAGCCACAAGAGATGTGATCTCTTTTTTTTCTTATTTGAAGTCACTGCTCTGTTAGGATTTGTTCTGGCAAATGTCTCCTGATTCCAAACGAGGCAGTTTTTAACATACAGAAGCCGCATTTGCTATTACTGACACTCGATGAACCGGGTTTCACCATCCATGGGAAGCAGCACGGAGTTTGTGGTTAAATACAGGAAATGCAACAAGTGCTTTTGCTTATGCACACGTTGTCTAAATAAACTGAGCATCCCAGTAATGGCCAAGGCAATTTTAAGATATCTAATTCAGAACTCATGGAAGGACCCAGCCATCAAAGCCAATGTTTCTTCACACTGCAAGGTGCTCTGGGCTTTCAGCATCGGCTAACCTACTGGGTATTTCAATGGTATTTTAAAATCTAACCTAATAAAAACACTTAATTCAAACCTAAAACGAAACAATCATCTTTTTCATCTAAGATAATAGATGCAGTACAGTATTTTTAAATTAAACTTACTGTATTTTCAAAACTTTATATTTTAAAATAAAAATGTATCTTAATAGGTGATATTACGGGTTGGGTTTTTTTTTCTAAGCCATGTTTTCCGCTAGCACTTGCGTTGAGTAGTAAGTACTTGCAGCTACACAGGGGACTCCGGAGATTTTTCTCTAAATGTTAGCATTTAGTCAACTAAAAAAGAAATAACATTAAGTTTTGTACTACAAATAGCCAGGCATCAGTGCCTTGTGCCAGAAGATTACTTCTTTTAAAAAAATGTGTTTTCAATTAATACTCCACTAATGACTGATGTTCAGATGACATCATTTTTATGCACTGTCCAAATGCACTTGCCATTTACACAAAATTTCATTTTGAAGAGTTGAATGTGTAACTAAAACCCTCAGCTATCTAGAAAACACGTAAACACATCTCCATTAGAGAACTACTAAAACCTCCTGTCCTGTTTAATAATCTTCACTGTGTACTTCAGCTAACGTATCCTGTCCCATTCCTCTTCTCCCCTCGCGCTCACCCCGCTCCCCAGCAGGTATTGGTTTGAACTAGCTCTGTTTTATACAGCTTTCCTGCTCTAACAGATCATTCGCCAAAGGTTTGGGAAGAATTGATTCCGTTGAGCTGAATGAATCGCCTTAAAAATGTTCAGTTGCACGAGATGTGAAAGCCCGTGAAGACCAGCTAAATTAACAGACAACAGCGTGATAAAAGATTGGGATTTGCAACCCGAGACAAAGCAGCTTCCCCAAGCTTCAGTACGCTGAGCAAAGAGCTGTCTTTAGAGAAACTGCAAAGCTCAACATTCAGCCAATTTCTGAGTCATCTGAAGCTAGACTGGACACTGCAGTCCAGAATGTACTTGAGAGAGAACACTCTCACACTGGCAGAGGGGTGGATGCAGTGACCTAACCGTGTACCTCTTTCACATCTATTGGAGTTCATCCTGTACAGAAAAATGCCAGTGGCTCCATCCCCCCCACCACACACACACAAACCTCAGCCAGCGGAATTATCGAAAGTTGTCCCAGTTAGAAAGTACTGGGAGCTACAGCAGGGCTCTCTGCAAAGCAGCTATTTGTTTCTGCATCCGTGGCTAGGGAGGTGGCAGACGTAACGCTTGGCTGCAGGCACACCCTTGAAAAAGCCTTCCTATAAACTCTTTTTATTGGATGTAAATGTTATTTCAACTTCTGGGTGCAATTCAGGAAGTGGGTGATGCCTTACAGAGTGTTCTTACTGCATCAAAGCCAAAAATTATCTCACTCAACTTATTCTAACAGTTGGTGGCTCCAATTTGATGGTGTCTATGTAGTTTCACAGGTATCACCCACCAATAGTTGTGGAGCTCTAGTACTCTGAGCATGGCTTCTAGATTCTTACACGTTAATTTCACAATAAAATCTCTTTCACTGTCTTTATGGACTATTTTTCCACAGTCTGCCTCTAGCTGGCATCTGGTGATGCTGACTTCTGTACAACATTAAAAACTCAAAAGTCCCTATTTGATTAAATAAATATTAACATTTCCCCTAAATTTGGCTAATTCTTTGTGAAGAGAGCCAGGCTAACTACTGGCCCCACCCTAGGTTACCAGCTTCAGCTGGGATCACTAAAGCGAGTATTTAAAAGCAGGAAGTACCCAACTGCCCTCTCTCAAAGGACAGTAAGGTGTTCCTCTTCTTGCCATCCAGGACAACTGGCTTTGCTCTTGGAGGGACAGCCAAGGACACCAGCAGGGTCCTACCTTTGTGAGAGGGGAAGATATTAGCTGAAGAACTTCTCATGTTCTTCTGCATAAAGGGAAGGAAACTGCCTGATTCTCAAACTGCAGAGTGCTCTGAGGCCTGGAGAACCAACAGCTTTACACCAGCTGCTAAAGGGAATTGTCCTCTGGAGGCTCTCAGGTAAGGCTGCAGGTTCTTTCTTGTAGTAGAGACAACAGTGCTTTATTTACTCACAGTATGTGGTATTACTTGATGTAAAAATGTCTATAATTCAGCTGTGCTATGCTCAATATCAATTTTTATGAACTGGTGTCAGAATGAGTGTATTTAATGGTTTGAGGAAAAAAAATCAAAAGGTCAAGAATTTTCTTAACACATGTGTGGCAAAAACCCTTTATGACTTAAGAAGAACTGTGTTTGGGTTTCAGATAAAATACCTTAAAATAAAATGGGATTAATGCTTGTACTTGAAAAAAG